CCTTTTTACCTCGTTTGACGGTATTTCTTCAGTACAATTTCTTCAGTATTAAAATATGAATAAGCAAAACCACTCATAGTCACAAGTGATTTTTAAAATTGCCTGTGAAATGATTGTTATTACAGATTATATCCATCATCATAATAATCCAATTCCATGATTTAAGGAAAGTTCTGCCTCTGTGCATCTGCTTCATATTCAGCAATAGACCATTTACCAGTATATTACTATGTGGTACTGACTAAAACCCGGACCCGGACCGGTCTTCTTCTTCTTTCAATGTTTTTTGGAGCTCTGGAAGCTCATCCATGTTGCCCCATGGCAGAGGGGTAGTAGGGTGAGGCAGAATGGCTGATGAGAATCCCAGTGTTTGCCAAGTCTGAACAAATTCAACAAATTAATGTCATCAAAACGATAAAACTTGTCAAAGACTAGTTTCTTCTTTACGCCTTCGAATATTGACGATTTATCTTATGGAATTATGAGAAGTGCAATTTCGAATAGCTTTCAAACTTTATAGTTTTACTAAAAAAACGAGTATATCTGATAATTATCACATTGTTCGTAATGATGGACGCCGAGCAGCTTGTACGTCGTTGACGGTAGAGTAACAACTGCTAAGCACGTTTACGTTCATTTTCTTCGCGATGTGCAACTAAACATATTTTACCACAACCAATAGAACCTTCTAACAAATTTGAACTTGCAAAAAAATCTCATTTTTAACTATTTAATTAACTTGCGCGATATACCAATAGTGTATTCGCGACTAGGTAATTCTAATATATGATGAAAAATCAAAGGAAGACCAAGAAATAACCAAAAAAACCTTTTTGATTGAATATCAAAGATCAGACCATATCGAGAAGACGTAATATCGTTAATAAGGACCGTTTACATGTAGTGATGCAGTACTGTGCCGTTTTGGAATCAGATTTGTTAAAAACGTTTTTGTTGTTTAAGTGCTTACTGCTTGTTATTAAGGACATAATTTTTCAGCAGAGCATTATTAAATGATGTATCTTAGTCTCTTTTGATGTTAGAAATACAATGGAGGCCCTCGACATGTCTCAATAAATAATTGTCTTCTAATTGAGATTATTTCGGCCCTCTGGGAGGTGTACAGACTGTTATATTACAATATATTCTCCAGTTCGAATGTTACTTCAACTGTCACTTCTATATGCTATTACCTCATTTAATATTTTAAACTTCAACCTTAGCAGAAAGAATCCAAAATTTGTTCGTTTACAGCAAAATTCAAGCATAAACATGTTGCATTAACTCAGTATGTCTACAATGTTTTTATATTGATAAATTGTCATTATTTAAATTATAAATCTGAGAATAATAAAAATAAACGTTTTTTATTGGGCGTGCACCTTCAAATAAGAAAAAAAATTTTATTTCAATGTACCCTAATTATTTTACACAGTGTTGAGACTCACATGATTGAGAATTGTTTTGAAAAGGCCGTAGAGATAGTCAGCGTCGTTGGCAAAATCACATTGTTCCTGAGGAGGTTTCTTCTGCTGGGGAGGTGGAGGGCGCCAGCCTGCCTCTCTGATCCCAGGTATGCTGGAGATGGGGATGCTCTTCACTCCTGGCAGTAAAACTTATGTTAGCCCTGGGAACCTGGGACTTCATTGATGAAAGTTCCGCAGTTAAGAGGAATTTTCTCTAAGACCCAAGCATACGCGGGAATCATCGTACAAAAAGACGTCATTCATAGACTTGGGGCGAGCCGGGACACTACGCTGACAAGATCTAGCACTTCCTATAGAATTAATAACTGTAATTCAAGTGAAATTGTGTTTTTACATAATGCGGCATTGGCTTTGCAGTGTCATGGCTGGTTGGTACTCACCTTCACTAAAGCATTTTAAGCCCTTGTGCACACACCGGATTTCGCTTTGTTTCTGTTCGATGAGCTTTTTTATGATCTGTTAAAAATAAAAACTATTATAAAAAAATTTTAAATACACCAAATTAAACAGAAATGGTATACCCGCTTGATTAAAATGCATGTTAAAATAACAAGTAGTGTAATATGGGTAATTTTATTATAATATAGATGAAAAAATTTCAAGTTAAAACACAAGACAATATTTCAACCTGCCGTGGATCTCTCATTCTGACGGCCGACACTTTCCTCTTGCTAAATACCGCAAACGATGGAACAATTTGGACAAGAAGTCATTGTGGTCTCTTCACTGGATCTTATGTTCATAAGGATTTTTTTCACAATCTACCTTTGTCATCTCACTTTAGAATTTTATAATTAACCCTTTCTCCCCCAAAAAATAATACGGGCAAGAGGGACGGTCAAGGAGAGGGACGGGCAAGAATGGTCAAGAACAGTCAAGAGTCTCACCTCTTTCTGCTTGCGTATGACTGCAGTAAACTCAGTGTAGACGATGCTGGGGTGCAGCTCACAGCCCATCAGCGTGGCGCCCTCGTAGTCTTTAATGTAGCCCTGGTACACAGCGCGTGCCAGGTGGATGTCCTTGCTGAAGCCCTGCTTCTTGAAGTAGCCTGGAGAACACGTACACATTTCAGTATTTTTTTGGAGATAAAGACTTATTGTTCTTTTGAAACGGCATCATATAAAATAAAGTCTTACTCTAAAACTATGGACTCTTTTATTAACAAGTTTTCCATGTTGCAGCATAAAATATCTTCAGTCTCAAAAAATAAAAATTCTGTCAGCAAGTGAAGAAAATTCTGCAAGGATAGTCGGCATGTTTACATAATTCGACTGCAACAAAATGATGAATTTAGGAAATAACCTTAACTCAAGCACACAATATGAGACAGCGTTCTCTGATCAATATGCAGGAATGTTTATCCAATTGATAGCAACTATGCTCACCAATAGCAAATTCATCAGCAAAAGTGAGGAAGTGAAGAACGTTGTGCTTCACGTGGAAGTCCTTGAGGTGGTTCATCATGTGAGTGCCGTAGCCTTTAACCTGCAATGAAATATTATCATAGAACACACAAAAGTCATAGAACATTTATCAAAGAACACACAAAGTTGAGAAAATTTTGCCAAACACGTTATTAAAATAAATTCAAGCCGTATGAGCAAGAATAGATTCAAGGCACGTCAAATATTAGATTCGCAAAACCAAAGCTTTAGTAGATAGAATATTTTCAAATGTAGTTTAATTCAACTGATTATCTTCAAATTCATTACTTCCATTCAAGTTGAGCCAGAAAAAAATTGAAGAAAATTTTCATTACAGAAAAAATACTGTTATTAGTAACTCTGCAAGTTTAAACATTAAAAATAGTGGACGACAAGAGAAAGTTTACAGGAAACATTTAAAGGTTTCATTTATACTTAATCTAATAATATATCAGAACGTAATACACATAAACCAATAACATAGAGGACGAATATTTCCTTCAGACTTACAGCAATCGACTGCGTAAAACAAGAACTTTTCTAATTGACACTGGTGATGTCTATATATCCAGTGTATCCACGTATCATCGGAAATAGAATATTCACGTAACAATACAACAGGAATCGCGACCTGCTGGTATATATCCAGTGTATCCACGTATCATCGGAAATAGAATATTCACGTAACAATACAAGAGGAATCGCGACCTGCTCGTTGGATGTGACGGCACAGAAGACGATCTCAGAGAAGCCTTGCTTCTTGAAGAGCCTGAAGCAGATGCCGCCTATAGGCTGGTGGTCCTTCACCAGCACCAGCGTCCTGTGTTTACTGCAATACAACACAAACTCCCTGAGAAATTACACATTATCTGAATCATGACATGACGACGCTCAATATAAAAAAACACGATTTTTTAGTTTGCAATATCGGTGTATCATGTTTAGCCAAGAGCGTTCATGAAGTCAAATGATAGGAATGCAACTACGGTATTTGCAACGTTGCTTGTGTTTTCGATACTTAAATTGTTTTTAATTTTATTTAATTTTACTGACTGGTCGAAAACGAGCCGAGTGATGTACTCCTTGGGCATGCGGGGCAGCTGGTGCGAGAAGACGTTCTGCAGACCAATGAGCCAGAGCATCGTCTTCTTGGAGACCTTCTGAGTCAGGGAGTTGCCTATCACGTGGAACGATATACCGCCCTTCTGCTCCTCAAGCTGGTAACAAATAATCATAAATAAACAATGAATTTCTCACCACGATAGAACATGGGGAAGCAATAGTGAAAAATACCACAATAGTGGTATTAGTAGTGAAACCACATAATAGTGAAAAATACATGGGGTCAGGTCTGAGGGATAAAACACTTTCAGCAAGATAGTGTATTGTATCATGCACGAAAATCAGTTGAAATGGGATAACTGCATCTGCTTGAGACCATAGCGACTTATTAAAACGGTCTAAATTCTAGAAGATTCGAAGACCAAAATAAATTAGAATGAGTGAGGCTTTAACAGAACTCATAAGAACTTCTACGTCATGTATATAAACAACTAACTTCAATCAAGTTTTCTTCACAGTACCAGCTGCATTTCACAATGCAATAGGTCGTACCTTAGCAGCCTCGTCTCTAGCGGAGTTCTCCGAGAATTCTGCACTACAGTCATGCTAAATTAACAAAACCTTCACTCTCCCGCTTCTCTCTGCAACACAAGTAGCGTTACTTCATTATTTTCTGCACTACAGCCATGCTAAATTAACAAAACCTTAACTCTCGCGCTTCTCTCTGCAACACAGGTTGCGCTACTTCATTGTTTTCTGCACTACAGTCATGCTAAATTAACAACAAATTTTACTATCACTTTTGAGCTTAGTGTCACCAGCGACTTAATTTATTTGTTTATAAAGATTTGAAAGCTCATAAACTACATACAAAATTATGTTTAATGTGGAAATTAGTGAATGAGAAGATCAAGCACACTTAAGTTATACTGTGTGGTATTTATATTGGAGTTTTCTTCTATGTTAATAAAGAATGTGAATTAGAAATAGCTTTATAGTAACCAAGAATTAAAACAGTAAGCCAAACCTTTTCTTTGTAGGAGGGATGTGGAAAAGCGAGCTCTCTGACAACGCAGCCACGCGTTCAGCCTCGGTTGAGCCTGGAAAAATGGAAATCTCATAGAGCAATTTGTCAATTAAAGGAAATCCTTATTAGAGGATCCTTACCTAATCAACAAGGTACTTGCTTGTTGACAAATACCAGAATTTCAATTATTAAGTAATAATTTAGAAAGGATCCCTGCTAAGAGCTTGGTCATGGCATGAATAGAAATCTCTTTTCAAGGTTAGTTCCATATATACATGAGGGAAGTAAATCAAGCAAAATTTTAGCATTAAATTAAATCTCCAAGTACACGAAATATAGCAAGCTTGGCAAGGCTTATTAATATTGACATAACGTTTCCACAGCCAGTTTTAGTCCTGCGTTGGTTTGTAACCCTAAACATCTGGGCCAAACTATCAAAAATAGTTACAAGCTCGTAAATCATTTCCAGCTAAGCCCAGCAATCACATACGATAAATACACTGCAACGTGTACGTAATAAAGTATTGATGGAACAGATGCAAATCAGCAATAGCGCAGCCATGAGACTCTTGTTACCTTTGTATTTCGTCGTGTAGGGGCGGGCGAAGCAGCAATAGCGCAGCCATGAGACTTGTTACCTTTGTATTCCGTTGTGTAGGGGCGGGCGAAGCAGTAATAGCGCAGCCATGAGACTCTTGTTACCTTTGTATTCCGTCGTGTAGGGGCGGGCGAAGCAGCAATAGCGCAGCCATGAGACTCTTGTTACCTTTGTATTCCGTCGTGTAGGGGCGGGCGAAGCAGCAATAGCACAGCCATGAGACTCTTGTTACCTTTGTATTCCGTCGTGTAGGGGCGGGCAAAGGTCGGCGGTGGAACAAACTCCATGTCCCACATGGGCGAGTTGTCTTTCACGAGCTCCTCTTCCAGCATTGATAAGAACCTGCACGTTCATATAATTAAATACTTTATTAAAGTCAGTTGTAGTCTAATGATTAACAGGTCACAGGTGTGCAGTCAGGTTACCAACAAATATAGGAAAGGTAAAAGCATAGAAAATGCTAGTAGATCATCTAAACTTCTAATTAGGATGCTAGTGAATGATGCCCAGAACATCAACTACTGAAATCTGAAACTAAAACAGCTACAAACGCGCGCTGCTGTGAAAATTTTGAAGATCAAACATTTTTATCATTATTTTTTAACAAAATTTGTCCTAGATTTATTTCAAAGCAGTTATTCTAGGATAATAATAATTGTAATATAATTTAATAGCAGGTTAGTCCATCATTGCCCATGCTTGACTATTGCTAAAAATTAAAAATCCCAATCCTGTCATTCCCGTAATCTCTAAAACTCTTAATAATAATAAAGAATGTCCACGAATTGAGTAAAGAAGCCTTCAAACCCACATTTGACATGGAAGATATGACTCCGATCTTATTCTTGTTTCAAACTATGGAATAAACTTATTTTAGTCTTTTAAATTCAAATTGAATATACCAATTGCAAAAAGTATAAAAAATTTCACAAATCCTCTCCTCCGTTTCCCATCAATCCATTCATATTCTCCCATTATGAATGAAATTTTAGGTTTCTATAACATATCAACATGATAAGTATCGTGAATACATGTATAACAATCCCAATATTTTTGCGGAGCCAGGTTTCTAACACACCCACAAGAAATGAGTCGATAAGCTTTGATAACAAACAAAATAATCCTCATACATCCTTCACATAAAAAAATGCCCAAAAAATACATTTAATAACTGACTTGGGCAATTTGTGCATGAGTAAGTCGTGTTTGTCCTCAGTAACTCGATCACCTCATACTACATCCTTCACATAAAAATGCCCAAAAAATACATTTAGTAACTGACTTGGGGAATTTGTGCATGAGTAAGTCGTGTTTGTCCTCAGTAACTCGATCACTACGAAACTTCTCCATGAGCTGCTTGCGAAGAGTACTGAACACGCTGCGTAGGAAGGTGCGGCCAAATGTTGAACAAAGCTCATAATGTGGAAGAGAGTCACAGATCTGTGGCACGTAGATGTAGCACAGCCACCTGTTGTAGAAACCAAAGGTAAGAAAAGATGGTACAAATGACAAGGACATTGCATGGTGCGAAGAAGAGAGCCTTGCATCATGCTACTCAGTAAGCTAAATGTATTTTCACAAAATTTGAATTAATTTTGTTGATTAATTGAAATATTTCATGGCCAAGTTATATCCCAGTTGCGTGAGCACGCCTGATCATGAAACATTACCTCATGTAGTTGACTTTGTAGCTATTGGTAGTGTCTTCTAAAGGAGATGGAGGAGAATGGGCATAGTGCAGCGTGGGAGTCTCAAGCTTCCAGTGGTTGATGCAATGCAGAAACATCTTAGCAAGGTCATACATTGCCTGAAGCTCCTGGAAAGAATGATTTATGTCTAGTCCAAGCTTCAATAGAAATTTCTGATTAAATGTATAAAAAAATCCTCTCGCTCAACAGTTATCTGCAGAGTAATAAAGCACTTCTGAAACTAATCATAAGCTAACAGCAGTTTTGTTGGATGAAAATAATATCTATGCAAGCTTCTGCAAAAAAAGCAAATATCACAAGGTAGGTACCAGTTTGAATGAACTTCTAAACAAAAAATTAAATAAATAAACACTAGGAAAGTTTGTATTAGAAGATACCTTGGGCTGTAGGTGTGAGAACTTGTACTGCACAAAATTAGACACAGCTTTGGCTATGGTAGGTCTCTCAAAAGGAGGCTTGCCAAGTGGTCCCTCAATAACTGGATGATGTTGTGTCTGAGGAAGCATACAATGTATCACAACTCGGAATATAAAAACATTAACTAGACAACTATAGGTCAGTGCAACATGTATATTTCTAGCTTAAATTACAAAGAAATAAAGAAAACATCACTACCTTCACCTTGATTACTAGAAGCAAATTATTTTCTTAAACAAATATATAATAACATTTTTCACACTTTTCAAAACCACAAAATTCAGAATCACATTAAAAAGTAAGTTCAAGGACTAATGACATGTACTTAAAAAAAACTAAACATGTTAAACTAACTAATGATCGACCATTTTAGACCAGATTTTTTTTACTTCATTCAAAGACAATTATTTATAAATATTTAAATAATTAAATCCATTATGATAATGCTCCATACAAAAAACTACATTGATATTGATAAGAATACTGAGTAGATACCTGAACAACACACTTTCTGAAGAGCTTGAACAGAAATACATAAACACTGCGAGTGTCAGTGTCTTCTTCTCTGTTGGCCATGAAGTAAACATTTTCTATGTCTGTCACAATCGACAGTAAGCGATCAAGCTCCGAGTTATCCAGGTGACTCAAGTACGAAGAGTGGTCAGCTGTGCCAGGAATATGAATTTCAGATGATATGATATGCATCATATTGCAACAAAGAGGTTGGATTTTTGGAAAAATTATACTGTAAACAATGCAACAAATAGTTATCACTACAGGTAATGACAAAATTGTCCTTAAATTCATTATATTACAAATTTTTACTAACCAACTTGATACCATAGGACTTTAAAAAATTTTGAGAATATAAACTTCAAAACTAATGTTCTTCAAGTTGAAATAATTATTATTAGCCTTCTGAAATCCAAACAAAAAAATCCAACAAAAAAATCCAACAAAAAAATATGTATAGGTACCTATATACCTATATAAAAACAGACTAACAAGACATATTAAGTTTTCTGAGGTAATTAAATTAATTTTTCAGGAGTAGCAACTAAGGCAAATGTTGTGAACCCATCAAGCAGCATCTGACATCATTCTTCTAAATTATGTATTATGTAACAGATTATTTTTGTAGAAAGATTTTCAACTATTACATGAACAGCACCTATGGTATGAGAGCAGGTTGTGCACGGGGTGGTAAGTGGCAGGGGCTCCTTGAGTGCAGCAGCCGCTGCTGCCTGGCTTGATGCCGCAGCTATGTTGCTGGGACAGTTCTTAAAACCAGTACACTTGCAGGATTCATCAGCCTGGGACATTGGGGCAAAAGAATGAGTGAAAAATCAACAAAATTATGTGTATAGACACATTGATAAGACTATTGATAAGACTGATTACACCAGTCACTCACTAACTATTAAGAACTTTACTTCAGGTGAGGTAACTTATTAATCTTGCATGAAAAAATTAAAAATTGTTGAAAGCTGACTTCTTTCTGTAGGTAGTAATTTCCTATTTCTTTATGAAGGTAGTAATTAATAAGACATATTCAGAATAATAAAATAAGACGAGATAAATACACAAGTGATCATTGGGTTTTCTCCATCAGAAAATTCCTAATAATCAATTATATTAAAATCAAAGATTGCCTAAAATAAATAAATACCGGTACTCACTTTACACAAGGAATAGCTTGCCAATTTCTCCAACTTTTTCTCTTTTGGCAACAGCCGATTGGCTGACTTCCTTTGCTGGATCCTGCTTAAAAAAGAGAAAAACATGACTGAATAATCTAGACAGGGGATAGCAGATTATGCACAATAAATAAGCATAAATACAAAGTAAAAAGTAAAATATTACATGTCCTAGAGATTTATTTAAAAAGAGGCAGTAGTACTTATCTAAAGTATAAGCAAAAGAATACAATGAAAACCATTTCAAGTGAATCTTTATAAGAAGTGAATTGCAGCTAAATAAAAGCAGCACAGAAACCCACCTGAGAATGTTATGAAGAATGCTACTATTACGAGCAACCTGACTGGCTTGGCTCTGATTGGTAGTTGAGGCAGTGGTAGAAGCACTACTGCCATTAACTGAATTACCAGCATTTGAATTTGATAGACTGTTGTTTACATTAGAACAATCAGATACCACAGCAGCACTGGTCTCCCATGAAGCCATTTTGAAATATTCTGAAAATAGAAAAATTCTGAGTTCTGGCAAAATAATTTCTACTTTTTGCTTTTTAGAACCTATTAGAAGTTAAAACACTGTGTTGGGTTTCTCCATAAAGGTTTGATCAATGGTTTTGTGAGTTTGTTTCAGGGGTTCCTCTGCTCTCCAGACAGAGGGCGGCAGGTTAGACAGTCTCAATGTCTTGGTTGTTTGTCCAATTACCCCAATTTAGTCCAAATAATAAAAGAGTCTACAACTTTCTTTGAAGCAAAATTTAAAGACTACAAAGACCTCTTGGAGAACTTCTGCTTTTTGGCAGGACTCTTTGATGCACATAGTCTGGGGTATGGTGTTATTATTAAGGGTGTCACCAAGCCTGCCAGGCTGCCAAATTCATCAATCGTAGTTGTTAACTACTTGTTAACAACTACGATTGATACAATCAACTACTTGTTGATGATGTTGACTGATGTGCTGTCAAATGATGAAGAAGTCTAAAACCTTCTTTGAAGCAAAATGTTAAGACTACACTGGCCTCTTAGAGAGCTGATTTTTGGCTGGGGCCATTGTTTTGTATAGTTTACAGTTTGGCGTTGTTGTCAAGAGCGTCACCAAGCCTGTTGGAGTTGTGGTGGTGCAGTGGTGAGAGACTCTGTCTCTTGCACCCAGCGCCCGGGTTCAAGTCCCACTGAGGACAACAACAAATTCTACCAGGAAGCTCAGCTCATGGTCAACTCAGCCATTCATCCAACTCTGGTGGATAAATGAGTACCTACCTGGCTTGTCCAGGGTGTTGTGTAATGTAATTAAATGGTTCTGGTGGGTCAGCGAGCCAGTGATGGTCGTAGAACTACCAGTGGTACCGAGTACCCGGAAAAACTGACCTATCACCTCCCCTCCCTAGTCGCAACTGCCAGGATTGGCAATTACAACAACAACCAAGCCTGTTGAAATCATCAATAATTTTGAGATGAAATTGCTTGTTTATCATACTCAATGTTGTAGAAGTTAATCCAATAAATACAATGCAGTCCAAATGATGAAGTCAACAATCTTCTTTGATGCAAAATTCATTTAATACACTGGCCTCTTGGAGAGCTACTGCAAAATTGGGTTATTTTGACCGGTGGGGTAACTTTGACCAATTTTCGTTTTTTTAACAAAAACTCCCAAAACTCAAAAACTATTTGACATAGAAAAATTTTGTCAATGGCCATCAAAGGCCTAATACTGAGGCTATGTACCGGTAACACAATAGAAAGATTTAAAAAGTTGCATATCTAATAGGTTAAAAAATTAATAATGTGACCCACGAAAAAGAGCTATTATTTAAAGCCTGTCACAGTACCCTCTCCAATTTTTTTATTTTTTGGTCAAATAACTCCAGGTTTTGATGCATTGTAGTAGAACTCTTCTAGTTACATATGCAAATGACAAATTTTAGGAAGGTGTCATAGTTTGCAAATGGGGGGTGCCGCCCACCAATGGGGCAACTTTGACCACCTAATGTCAGTCCTAACGGGGTAACATAGACCGGCTTGGAAATTAAGTTAAAATTACCATAGGTACCTATATAACATATTTTATGTTTGATACACCTATTAATGTTTTATCTTTGTTTCAGACTCTACAGACCACTATGCAGAGAGTGGATGAATATTGCAAGATCTTTGGCGATGCTTCAGTAGCAAAATTTATGCCTTCAGAAGATCTTGTCGACACATTTAGATTGAAATTCTTGCATTTAATATATTTGTCAGTCTTCGGTAAACTATTTAAAAAAAGTAAGGTTTCCGATATGTTGGATGGATCAGCATGTAGTGAAGCTTGTCCAGAAATCAGTTGCGATGAGTTCCCGCCAAAAAAATGTAAACATCAAGCTTACGATTATGTAGTTGCGGTCACATTAGAGCAGTCAGACAAAATTATCACATATTCAGTTAACACTTGCTGTACAATCAGACTGTTTTTTAGGGTAAAATTAGTTATTTGGGGTAATACATGCATGCAACCTTGTAAATAAGTTCATGGCATTGTTACCGTGCGTCTCTAGCGGGTGAGACAAACTCGTTGTCTGCTTATGAATTTAGAGGTAACTATCTAAGTGAAAGGATAATGAAACACTTTCTCTATAAAATTAATTAAGGGATCTTGTACAAAATCTATCAAAACACGAAACTCAAGTGCAAGACAAACTCTATGGATATTAGCAGCTAATTAGTTCCTATCTAATTACTTAAAGAACTCCCCCACCCGCCCCCCTTTCATGAAATGTCGTGAAATCATAAATCAACGTAGAGAGATGGCAGTGGTACCGTTGGATAGGGCAGAATGTCAGCTTTAAGGTGAGACTAAAAACTGGAAAAGCCAAAATTGTCGATTTTGGACCCAGATGCTCCCCTTAAGTATACTTGTATTTGCTGATTTCAAGTCGTAAATAAATTAATAGATGATGAAGTTGAGAAATGGATTTAGACACATGAAAACTAATTCCGACACAACTTGAATTGGACACACACAGATTGTTCCAAGCTTTGTACAAAAATTGAAATTTGCTTAATTAAAAGCCTAATAGTTGTTAATTAAAACGTAATTAAATAGTGTTCAATATTCGTTAGTTTTCTAATTCAAAGCCGTGTTGTATCCCAATACAGCTCACACAGCAAACGGAATTCGAACACGTGGATGTCGGCATTACGTATCAGTTAAATTTGAAGCGCTGACGCAATACAACTCACCACATGTCGAATATTGCCACACACAGTGACGGAATATAGGGATTTGGTAGGTTTCCATTCTAAAGGCTTTTTAATAAATATGGCAACATTTTGTGACGTTTCATCGTTGCTGACGCGTAGTGAAGTGTTTTGAGAGTCACGTGAAGGCAACAGAACTTACGTAACGCATATGGTTTTTTTATAGTTTTTCATTTCTCGATGCATCCTTAATGTGTCGGAATATACCGCGTTTACCCTATGACACTTCCCACAAATTTGTCATTTGCATATGTAACTTGAAGAGTTCTACTACGATGCACCAAAACCTGGAGTTATTTTACCAAAAAATAAAATTGATTTTACCACCCAGTCAAAGAAACCCCAAGAGCTGGGGTACCCGGTAACAAAGACCATCACTTTTTTCAAATTACATCAAAACTGTGAGAGGCAGGAGCCACTAGCCAGCAATTTATGGTAAGTGAAGCTTGAGTATGTTTAGATCTATATTTTGCATGTTTCAATTTAAGTTTAACTTATCTAGTAAAAAAATTGCATCATTTTGAAAAAAAAGTGGTAAAAGTTACCCCATTTTACGGTACCACTTTCTTGCAGAGGCCGCCGCCATCGTTACGTTTAGTCTAAATTTTGATGTTGGCAACTGGTAAGTGTAAAGATTGTTGAATATATCATGTCCATTGAGATGAAGTTGCTTCTTTGTCATACTCAATGTCATTCCATGGTCAGGAAGATGTGCCAGGTGCGCGGGAATTTATTTTATCATTTTAACGACCTGCGCGGTGTGCCGTACTACGTTGGTAGAAAAATGCGCCGTGCGCCGTACTTTAGAAAGCTAAAATAGTTCTACTATTTTAGTTGACAATATACGCTGCATAATAACGCGAGTATATTGACTACGCGAGTCGAACTGACAAATGACAATAATAAAATGTAAGACATGTCCGGGTTACTTCTGACTCTTCCGGTTGTCTGCCTTGTCGGATACGGAACATACGGTAATCGCAAACTGCGGCTGTTATACATACGAAATGTAAACAGACGGTGTTCAGTGTTGCCATATGACTTTGGAGAAAATTTCTTCTAAAATAAAGATGGCCAGGATTGCGCGAACACGTGCGCGAAGATAATCAATTTTCATTACATTGCGCCAACTGTGCACAGCAATAGCTTAAAAAGCGAAAATGCGCAGGAAAATTCACCGAAAACATACATCATCCTGAGTGTGGATGTCATTGTAGTTAGTCCAATTGATCCAATGCAGTCCAAAAGTTTGAGTATGTATGTATAGAAAGTTGTAAGTTTGATTGAAGACCAGAGCATGGTCTTCAATCAAACTTGCATAAAAGAGAAGCTTCTGCAGTGCCAAACTACACAAAAAAAAAGTTGTAAGTGTGTATCATCAGCATGGTGCCAATCCATAGGTTATTCAAAAGAACCTGTTCTTATGTCATTTTGAACCGATCAACGCTTCTTTACGGACCGATCGTAAAACACACCTTCACCGGCAAAAGCTTTCACACTTCTGAAGGTGAGCTGACAGCTACACTGGCCGTGGAGCGTGGGTGGACCTAATTTGAATTTGAATGCATGCATTGATTCAAAATCCTATAGACTATAATAGACATAGTATACAAGTCATAGAGCCTAAATTTTTAATATCTATAAAAAAATTTACGTTTCTGCATGTATTATAATGCTGTTAACATTAGCAAACTTTGAATTATCTCTGATGCAAGAAATACTTGCTTAAATCATTTTATTTTCAATATAAGCGACTGGA